ATGAACGTTTCAGATGCATACTATCCTGTAGAGCTTAGAATGCTGATTCCAAATCTGCCTTCGCTCTCTGTTGCTGGCTTCTGGGCGAGGAGTTACGTAGGTTTTTGTGAAGTTAAATGCAAGATCAGTTTTGAATCAGTCGTAACATTTTCTCTAGCGTCTAATTAACACCGGGTCACTGCAGTAAATGTTCGTGATTCAAGTATTCCAACTCGCTGCTGCATCATTTGAACGTTAGAAAAAAGGTTACGACTGATTTTACATTTATCTCGCATTTGAATATTTTACTCCCAAAAACCTTCATAACCCTTGGCCCAGAAACCCGCAGCAGATAGCAGAGGCAGATTTGGAATCAGTGTCCTAAGCTTTACAATATAGTGTACACCTCATCTTAAAAAGTCACATTGACCACTTCCTTCCCTCGTCAGTAAGATTCACTTAGGGCCGCATGCATTAACATCCCCGCGGGGAGGGGATCGCAGCTTAAAAGAAAGCTTTATATTTCGAAACTCCAGATTCCTAGATTTCACGTTGTGTACCAGTCCGTAAGTATTCCTACTACCCTTCACTATGAACAAGTTGAACAGGAGCTAGAAGATGTACGAACTGCATTTTCCAGCTTTTGTATGATCCCTGGTGATCCCCGGCGCTTTTCTTTAAAGTCATTTTTCTTTCTTCGAAGTTAACGAAAAACCTCCAAAGTTGTGCAGATTATCTAATCCGACAGTGCTAAGCATGTTGCTGATAAGAACAAATGATGTTTTGAAGTCATGAAATTTTCGATGATCCACAGGTCGAAATTTGAGGTTTACCGAAAAATTCGACTTTTCAAAAACTCATTTGTTCTCATCAGCAACATGCTTAGCACTGTTGTGTTAGATGTTCACTACAACTTTGGAAGGTTTTCGTTGACTTCGGAGAAAGAAAAATGACTTCAAAGAAAAGCGCCGGGGATCATCAGGGATCATACAAAAGCTGGAAAATGCAGTTCGTATAGCTTTTCGCTCCTCTTCAACATGTTCATAGTGAAGGGTAGTAGGAATACTTACGGATAGGTACACAACGTGAAATCCAGGCATCTGGAGTTTCGAAATATAAAGCTTTCTTTCAAGCTGCGATCCCCTCCCCAACGGCGAGATTAGTGCATGCGGCCCTTAGAGGTTACTAGTTGATGTTTGAACTCGGAAAACACATTCTTTCTTGTTGCAAGGTTTGAAATCGTTTTTTTCATTATCTCCGGGAAACCACTTATGGGCATGTCCGCTTCTGATTCCACACGAACTCTATCAAAAAACAACTTTAAAGGCTTTGTGAGGTAGCTTTTCGTCGATTTATAGGTGTTTCTTACACCACGTGCAAGTTCATAAATTTTGACGCTGAAAAAAACTGCGAGCATTTGAGCTCTATAGAGCACTACAAGCTACACTTTTTATGATATCTGAAAAAACAAATGTGGTGTGTGGGTAAGTCTGGGGTTTCTGCTTTACACAATCTGCATTCTGACTGCTTCAGATATACAGAGCATTAAGAAACTGCTAGAAGTTGTTATATAGACAAAATACTTTGAAAAAAAAGTAAGAAATAGCTTAAAAAATAATCTATGCCATGCTAAAGCGATTACCTTATCAAACACTCAAAATTCGAAAGAGGACCAAAGTGCCTTGAAACAATAGTGACATCACTGCAGACAAAAAAGTAATCTTTACTTTGTACAAGGAAATTGAATGACTAAAACCAAAGCTTTATCAAAGAAATAAAGAGGATTAAATTGTAAAGAAATAGAACGAAAAGTCTATGTTAGCTACATCGCAAATCAGAGACATTTCCTGATTACAGGGATACGGTAACAATCAACACTTGTCCATTTCGAAAAGAGAGGGATTCAAGAAGGAAAATCTGACTCGAACTAACACCGAAAGCACCTTACTTAGGTCTTTTGAAAAGCGACACATGTAGTCAGAGTCAGCTTGAAGGCTGATTCTGAATCTAACATTCTCAGCTGCGAAGCATCACTCTAGAGCGAGTTACGAGCCTTTTCCTCAAAGATTCAATGTTGATAGACTTACCGATGCTACGGTATCATCATCTATTTAGTGGCTCAAACGAATAATATTCCCTATCAAAGCCAAATGACTCAATTTAATGTTATTTCAAGTTCCCACCAACTTTTTGGATAGATTCCCATTACAAGCCGTCTTTTCCAGTTGCAAGTCAACGACACATATTAAAAAGTTCAAAACACGCTTAAGCGTAACGTTTCGCAGCTATGAGCACATTTGAAATCAGCGTCTTAAGCTGCTTCCCAATTCAAGAAAAAATCGTCATCAATTCACTTTGAAATGAGAAGCTTGAAACAAATGTTCTTCTCAATTTATGTTGATTAATAAGACGTTGTGCAATGCCGCTTAATGGCCTGCTCCAAAGCGGATCGGTGACTTTCTTTCATCACACCCTAACTATCGTTCAATTCTTCTTGACCTCTCACGAACAAGACGGAGAGACACATAGCTTATCACTAAACTGTTTTGTTGTGTGGTGTAGACGATCTTAGGCCAACTATGGAATGCTATCTCGGCTAAAACAACCAAGCGTTTTAACAAGCTCGAAAGCTATGAGGCTAGCATGTTATAGTGTGGACCCCGGCCAGGTTCCCATGGGTACCTCCGCGGCGCGCCCGCAGCGCATGCCTTCAGTGCGCTTTTCGTTCGGCTCTGAAGGGATTTCTTTCAATTTTCGCTTTCAAGGTTTGTTCTCCTCTGTAATTTCTCTATTTCAGATGTAAACGACTCACGTCAACTGCTGGGATGGATTTTTACGAGCCTTGACTTTCTTGCAAGCTTTTGTTTCAAAAATCTCTCTTTTCTTTTCCAATAGTGAAGATTTCAGTGTAGTTCAGAAGAATATCCTCTCCAAAGGTTCTTATCACAGATCAAGTGTATATGCAATTGATTTTGTGCAGTTTAGATGCTTCTAGTCTTTTGACTGCGCCATCAGGGCTTTGCCATCGTGCTCTTGAGCTCAAACTTTTTGGGTTTTTTTTACGACTACAGCAGGAAAACTTTTCAGAAGTGTTCTTTGACTTTTCTGTTACTTCTATCATCAATCGCTGGTAGTGTCATACACTACCAGCGATGGATGATAGAAGATTCCAGTCATCTATGAGATTGACTGGAATCTGAGCGCTAGTAGAAGTTGTGAAGGTTCTGCTACTGCCTTGGCTTTTCTCGAGTTCAGATTAGAGGCTTCCACATCTCATTCGACTTCTGTTTTCGGTCATAATGCTTTTTTGTTCGGAAGCGAAATGAGAAGCGTCAAGTCGGGCGCGCGTTGCGTGTGCGCCGCGCTAGTACCTATGGGAAGCTGGCCGGGGTCCACACTATATCTACCTGTTGTCCTGTTGTGCGATGCGATTGCTGCACCAATTTTCCCGATATCGTGAGAACACAAGTTAGCTCTCACTCAGTGTTTTCAGTCCGCAATGGGTCTTTACTTTATAACTTACGAGAACAGCGATCCCAGTCCTAATCAATGGTAGAAGCTTCAATGCCCATACGATAAAAAGGAGGTTCTCCTTTCATGCATTGTAGATGCTGCTTGCGAAAGTTGTTTATTGCGGGTTAAACATAATCTACAAAAAATTTGCAGTATATAGCGTAGACTGCCTGATCGTAGGCTGGAAAGAGCATACAGATTGCAAAACTATAGAGTTATTCATTTTGGCCGATTTAATATTACAGACCCTTGTTCATAAAAGCAACTTCCCTCTCGTTTGCTTCTTCGGGGCGCACAGCTGCATTCGCAAGCTCTCAGGCTCTCACGTATTCATTCACATTTTTGCGGAAAATTCTCAATTGAAACTACAAAAATATTGTAGGTGAAGGTAGGACAATCCACTTCTTTACGAAATGCTCAACTTTTCTCATGTCTTCGAAAGCTAAAAACTGTAGCGGTTTGAACATTGAGTATACTGGGAGGACATAATATGTTCCTCATTTCCATGCTCGCGATGGCGAAGAAGCTGCACCGCTAGCCGATTAAAGCTTACAAGAAGGTCCGGTTGAACAAGCTTGAAAATTTTTTGCAAAAGCTGGGTTTTGAGCACCATTATAATATCATTAAATATATGGGTGTCTTTGAATTCAATGACTGGCAGCATTTCGTCTAGTTCTTGTTTACTTAAACTTTTTCGCTGAATCTAAGAGTGAGACCCTTGCACCAAGGCGTGGTGCTCCAGTGTCTCAAGCAATTTTCTCGCAGATAGAAAATTTGTCATTGTGCGATATTTCGGCAAAACCATCCATTTTCTCCGGTATAGGACTATATGTTGCCAAAAGGAAGGTCTCGCGCGGACGTCTGCAACAAACAAGGCCTTTGGCTGTGCGAAAGAGGACCATTAATGCGGATGTTTGAACGGACTTCTCCTCTCGACGACGTATTAGTCCTCTCTCCTCAGACCTACAATCACTGCCTTTGAGACAAAATAGACTTGCAATTCCGGAATCGCAATGAATGTCTAGTACTCAAAGGCAGTGTCCCTGCAAATTTTGCACTCCCACCTTTCTGCATCTCTTGTTCTTTTTCGACACGTTGAACCCGCAGAAGCTTTGAACGGGATGAAAAGACCGTTTCTCAGGACGTGCACCAGCTCGGACGAGAGTTTCAATGGAAAGTTGGGAGGCCCCGGCGCGAAGACCCTGCCGCCTGTAGTTTTTGCTTCCCTTGGAAAGCATGTACAATGCAGGAAGCAGCCGTGGGATCTTGCGGCGGACAGCCAAGCAAGCCGTCCGAGACACCGTCTGGGGTTGCGCGCGCCTGCTCGAGGGCCATTTTCTCGGCGCAGGGGGAACATCAAAGAGCCAGACTGAGTCTAAAGGTTAGTGGGGTGACCAGGAACCTCACCACAGCCATATCCCACAGGGCAGAATCTGCCGGGACCCTGCCTTAAGATACCGCATTTGAAGCAAGTACACTTTGAAGCACCCAAGTTTTCAGTGCTAAAAGTTGTTCAAAATGTGTTTATTCACGAAGGATGCGTGCAAAATTCTGCAGTCAGGCTAGTTGTTTCTCGGACTTCATTTTTATGTTCACATCAACAACTAGTATAGGTTGCAAAGTCCTTCAGTTGCATTACAGGCTGGCGTGCACTGTGAGCACACTGCACCACTTGTATAGATCGTTCCATTAGGCACATTGCCCCTGAAACAAGGATTAAAATAAGTTTTTAGTTCAATTGTAAGAACAAGGAATGATATAAGGCCCCAGCAAATTTACACGTATCACAAATCTTTGAAACTTACGCAGGAGAATAACGGCAAACAACAAATGTAGATGTGTAGCAAGTTCGTGTAGCGCATCCGAGCCTAGCACTTTTCGCCCATGCCATCTGTGGAAAACTTTGTTTCTTATATCAACTACCACAAAACTTGCCTGTGTGAAAGCCTTGACATCTACGAGGCTATGTTCGGTAGGTGCATCATAAATTAAATTTTTGTTTATGCTGCCAACATCGATTTGAGACCACCAGCTCTCCGTTGCCTGCAGAAGATGACATAGCTTTTCCAGCGAGAGCATCGAGGTTGTCAAGGTCTCACAGCTTTGAATGCAATGACTGGGTCGACATTGGGAATGGGATAAATGAAGATATTTTCTCCTAATCCGAGTCTTGTTTCTTCTTCTGATTTTGTGAGCGAACAGGTTTTCGAATAACTTATGGCTTCTGCTTCTGCTTTACAATCGTAAATCTTAAATATGGGAGCATGAAAACGTGCTTGACACCAAATGACATACCATTTTGGGCATGAATGCCGAAGTGGCTAGCTTCTCTTTGGTAGGACCATTCACCACTTGACCTGTTGCGAGCAATGACCTATGAAAGTTCGAAGAAAACTTGTTTTCGAGATGTTTTTCCCATAAGTAGATGGATTTTTTAGCTAGTAAATTGCTCACAGCGGAGTAATATTAGCAACTTGCTTACAATTTCACAAACCTACCTTCTTATATTGTGTTCCTCCAAAACTTTCTGTCTGGTGTGATCGCTCATTCCTTTGTTGCCCCTGCACATTGTGTTTTCTCCCTCTCCTACAAATTTAAAAATCAAAATTGCTATCTCGCATATGTTTTCTGCGTTCTACCTGGCACCGGAGCTCTCCCGATAAAATTACATAATCCCGTATCCATGATGCATTTTGAACCAGCATAAGTAGTGCAGTCAGCGTGCTTTTTGCACTTCCTTCCTCTTTCGTACAATGCGCTGTTCTCATAACTTCCTCTGAATGTTTGGTCGGGTGAAGACACTTTGTTTAAAGTTTGAATTATTCGAAAACTAAGAAGTTGGTAATCTACGAGAACAAAATATTATTGCAACTCGTTAGGATATTGCACTTACATAAGGTTATAGACGCAAGATATGTATATATCATCTTTGATTTTTGAGTAACCACATCCAATTCGTAAGGTTTTTGCATAAATCATCTAAAGAAGGACAATTTTCTAGAGAGAGCAGTGTACACAGCTTACATTGGCAAAGGTGTAAAGACGTCCATCATGATATACACCATCAGAATTTCCGATCCCATAGTATAGTATAGGATTGTACCAAGACTCTAGTGCAATCCTTAGTTGTTGTTTCCTCGGAACATTCTTCATCGCCTCATTGGAAAATCTATGAAATTAAGTTTAGTATAGTCAAGAAATTAACCTTGGTAACGATATCGCAGCCTCTAGAAACCAACGGAGTTGATACAGCGTACAGACGAGAAGATTTTACGCTTAATATAATGTGCTTGCACTGCAGAGAAAATGCGGTAAAACTTGCGCGGGAAGAAATAGCTACGCCTGTAACGCCGGCCGATAGTGCGCAAATGTGTGTTGAAATGGACCCCTTACATAAACGATGACTGAATTTCGGAGCGAAAAAGAGGGTCTACCAAGCCTGAAATTTGCTCCGAAAGTGGCCCGTATCTTACAGTCTGCCCAATCCCAACCAGGCCGAAATTGGCATTGCGGAAGTCCGCGTCGCTGAGATTTTGCGGTCCCGCCCACGGCCTGCCTCTACTCTCTCTTCAATCCTTTTGCTCTTTCCGACAGCGCGCATATGCGGCGCAAACGTTTAGCGCTGCGAGCGCGCAAATTTAGGCTGACGGTTCGGCCTGATCCCGATTGGAGCAGACTGTACGATAGGTCGAGTGCCGCCCGCACAGCGATTTCGAACTGCAAGGTCAGAGCATGCATAGCGCGCACAGTCATGAGCGCAATCCCGCAACGATTCTGCGTTTCTACCTTACATCATTCCGTACTCGCCCGAGCCTACGGTAGGATCCGGGCCACTTGGGCGGCGATTTGTGACTTCGCAGACCTCCTTTCGCGCGGCAAACTTCCGTCGTTGCTGTTAGGGGTCTGCTATTAATTACTACCAAAGCCAGGTACCCCTCAATCTGGTGGAACGCTGCCTTTAACATCAACGAGACTCGAGATATCATTTTTTTCAAATCCTGATTATATTGCAATACAATATTCACGTTGATTAATGCAAAATCAACATAGTCTGGTTTGTTCTCTACGCTTGAACATGTTATTACGTGCTGTTATTTCAAGACCGAGCCCAACCTCACAGTTTAGTGATTGTGACCAAAACCAAAACATTCATCAGAATTCATTTTGTCCCTTAACACAGATGAAGAGAGTAGTGCTGAACACATTTTCATTGCTCAACTAAACAGAAGAGCCTCCTTGCTGAATCATTCTTTTGGGTTTTGATTTTTACTTTTCTCACTACCCCTGCCGCCTTAAGAATTGGTGTCTGCAAGTACTCATATGGATAAGAGTATATACTTATCAACGCACTTTGCCATATTCTGCCCATAGCCGTTGCTGAATGTAATTCGCGGATTAGGCATGGCTAGAGCCTCCTGCACTTTCTTTTCCATGTTGCAATCATATTTCTGAACCAATGACGTTAAAAAATTAGTACTATTCCATTAATCGAACCTTTTTTTTGCAGAAAAGGATATTGCTTTTAACCTCACACTATATTTCCTCCCAACTTCAAAGCAGGAAGTGTAAACGCTTATGTGTCAAAAATTGGAAGAAGTGTTATCTTCACCTCTAAATCTTTGCCCAAATTTTGGTGTCGTCTACCTGATAACGTAAGTTAATCCTCTTCTAGAAGTTTTATTCCCTGTTCATTCAAAAATTCAATACAATTGCGTAGATTAGAAATAAGTGTAAGTCACAACATCCGACTGACGAGATAAGTGGCAACGAAGATTATACGCCATGCTTGGATTTTCCTGTTCACATTTGCATGGCGGAATATATTTACGATAAATAATATTCTTGTTAACGCTTAAGCTTGAGAATTTAAAAGTTTATGGCAGTTTTTCCACCGTAAAAGAAACATCTGGAAAACATTTGCGTCATCTCAAAAGAGACGGATACTTGGCCGAAGGGGAGTTTTTAGTGAATTGTATTTTATCTATAGAGCATGGGACGCTAATTCCAAATCTGCCTTCGTTGTCTGCAAAGCGCTTTCAAGAGAGGAGTTATGGGAATTTTTTAAGCAAAAATTTAAAGACATCGCTACAACCGATTTATTCAGAACTAAAGTCTGTGAGCTCACATGGGGCCATGATTATTTCCAGGGAGCTTTATGCGATTGGTACCTTTAGGTTGATGAATTTATGCTAGTCATGACTTTTCTCAACCTCCAAAAAGACCTCAAAATTGGTTTTACTTTTTTCTCAACCTCCAAAAAGACCTCAAAATTGGTTTTACTTTTTTAGACCCTCAAACTCCTGCCTTTAAAAATTCTCATAACTCCCCTACCAGAAGCGCTTTACAAAAAACGAAGAAAGATTCGGAATGAGCGTTTTATGCTTTAAAGGACGGTTTACAATTTACGTGGGAACTTCAGTTCGATAAGGATTCTTCGCTTGTTAGACGCTGTTGTTTTGTGAAAACTCAAACTAAATGAAGCCATCAGTTTTTTCCTGATAGATGACAAGTGAACAGACTAGACAGAATCTGTGAAAATCTTTTTCTAGACCACACCGCATGAACTTCCGGTTGACGGTAAAGTACCTTGATTTATAATCTCAAGTTTATTTTTACTATCTTTTTAATCTTGTGACACTTACTCGTCATTATTGCTCACCAGTTTGTACATATTCTTTACTCCGCGAAGGTCATCGATGTAATCAACATCACCACTTGCGATTGCCGCTCTTTTTTCATTGTGGTAGTCAGTAATGAATCTTCTATCTTCGTCGTCGAGATTGGCATTTTCGAGCTTTTCATCACAAACTGAGAAGCGTATTATATAAGCAGGCATAGAATTAAGTCGTTCTTGTAAACTAACCTTTGATTCAACTGTCTTGGCGGCTGGAAGGCGAGGCTTTGTAACTCATTATAATTAGGGCCGCTCGCGCCCGCTACGCCGTCTGCGTCTCTCCTGCGCGAGTGCTCAATCATTATCCGGCCTTGATTAGTCACGAAGCCCCGCCTCAGCCGCTAAGCCAGTTGAATTAAAGGGTACAAGCCAAAATAAAAAAAATATTTGCTACCATCTCGCACATTACTTCACTCTTACAATCGTACAGTAAAAAGAAGTTAGTGTCAGTTTCTCATGTAAGAGGTTTATTAGAAAGCAAAACTCTGCGAAATTTCAAACAATCAGCTCTCAAAATGTTGCACAGAGTGTTGCAAACGGTAACTACACGTTTAATTGTTTATATCTGTCTCATCTGCTCCATTGAAAAACGCCAGTCTAGGTATCATTTTATAAAGCTAGCTTCAATTCAAATTTACCGTAACCTGTAAAAGTCCGCTAGCTCTCAAATGTCATAAGTTATGGTTGAGTTTTCGAAGGAAATTTTGGGAGATTGAGGCCAACGAAAGCAATCGAAGACTTCAAAACTTTTACATCTCATCAATCAAAGTGCCTCATTATGATGTTTTCACTACACCACAAGTGTTTGTGAGCCAAACGCCGTAACAAAAGTTGCTCTCTCAATGTTCCTCGATATATAAGCTGAAAATTCGAAAATTAGATGAAAGTAGTGCTCGTAACCTGCTATAAAACTTGATAATTTCTGTAACGGCTGCACGAATTTTATTATATTTTTATTATATCATGACGAAGCTGTATGCTAAACGTTTTTTTAGTGATCCTAAAATAATGAAGAGCGATTTTGCACATGCTATATATAACATGTCCATAAACTTGTACCAAGTCTTCACAATCCAAAACATTAATTTACATCAATGGACGTCTTAGACTGTGATTACTTGCAACTAATTATAGCAATCTTGCGGAATGAAATTTCCTTTTTGTCATTAGTAACAAACTTTGAGAGGTTTTTGAATGTAGAGGCAACGTAGATTTTGTAAGAGCTAATTTTCTTTTCTATTACAAATTTCTGCAAATCAGTGCTTTAACCCTTGTTGAAAATTAGACACGACAGACATTAGACACAAAATTATCCATCCTGTACTTAATATGGCTATAATCCTCTCATATCAAAAAGTCAGTAATATACCTGATTTTTCTTGAGCCAGTAATATATCTGGTTTTTCTTGAGCCAGTAATATACCTGATTTTTCTTGACATAAGGTAATCACAGCAATTTCAAGTAGGAGAAGAGAACATAGCTGAAAAAGAACAATTAAGAATCGCTACTGGCTAGTAAAACCTACCAAAGCGCTCGACTTCATTCTCTCAGGCTCTCATAATACTTTTTACATACGATTTATATACTTGTTTGAAGGGATTGTGATATTGCACGTTCTTATCATCCAAAGTACTTGATTTTTTTTGACAAAGCTTCTTATGTATCTTTAGTTTTTTTTTCGGAGATTTGGCTGATTAGATAGACCCGCAAATATTTCGAAGTCTGCCGCCTTTGTTACATTTCATGGATGAACGCTACTGTTACATGAGTCACACTCATATGCACTTCCCAAATGCCCCCCCCCCCACCCCATTTAGGGTGCCTTCATATCGCGCCACCAGCCGCCTCTAGCCGCTTTTGAGCACTACTTCATTGTCCGGATTCCAAAATCGAAATCAAAAATCTTGCTCAAACTTGGTTTAGTGGAGTTATTCGGCATGTTTGATAATAGCACAATCTTTTGATATTTTGAAAAGGCCTTGGAATACTGGGACAGTGCGCAAGGGCGGCTAGAGGCGGCTAGCGCAGGCTGCCAGCGCGGTATGAAGGCACTCTAAATGAGGGGGGGGGGGCAGTTGGGAAGTGCATATGTATGTGTGTGACTCATGTAACAGTAGCGTTTGGATAAATCCCTTTGAAGGCAGTGTCCCGGCAGATTTTGCATCCATGTTTTTGCATGTTCTAGGCTTTTTCGATGCGTAGAACCCGACTTTGGGCTTTAAACAGGGTAAAAAGACCGCTTTTGGGGAGTTTACCCAATTTCCAAAAGGCAGCCCGGACGAGAATTTCAGTAAAGTTAGGAGGCCTGGCACGAAGACCCTGTAATTTTTGCTTTGGATAGCATGCACATGTGCAGTGCGGGAGCGGTTGTGGTGATCCCGCGCCGGACAGGAGAGCGAAGTCGTCCGAGCGCGCGCCGGCTGGGTTGCGCGCGTTAGTTCGGGGGTATTTCCTCGGCGCGGGGTGAACACCAATCAGCCGGACTGGGCCTTGAGGTTAGTGGGATGACCAGGAACCCCACCATAACTATTTCCCTGGGCGCGAATCCGCCGGGACGCTGCCTTCAAAGCGGGTATAGCTAAAATGTGCTTGAGTACACATGTGGTTGGTCTGCCCTTTCAAGTTTTTTTAACAGTTAATTTTACATAAGAACACAACCAGCGTGGTGCTTGATGACTGAGAAAGTTTCATGCTTTTTCCGTAGCTTCTCTACGGATCCTGCAAAAGCGATATTCTATTTGAGCCCTTTAAACAGCTCCCTCCAAGGCAGAAAGTCATTTGCGACCCTAATTGTGAGATCCACCATGCACAAAGAAGACAGCAGGTGGATGAGACCTCCCTTACAGTGTGAGTTCCCGACTGAGCGCATTTCTCGCTTCTTATCCATCCCTTATGCACTAACACTTGCCAAGGCGTCCAAACACTCAAATCCCAAAACCCTGCATTGTGACTATAGCGTTTTATTCAATGCAATTTTTATTTGAAATTCACCAAAATTTAGAAAATCTTGCAAATTTAGTAAATATTGCAGAGTCCTTCGGTCTTGTTGCAGGCTGGGGCGCATCCGGAACACACTGAGCCAGTTATGTAGATCTGCTGGTTCAGAATATTACCTCTGAAACAGACATTTAACCAAATTATCATGATCATTTCATAATTTCTTGACTACAAGATCATTATGTAAAGGCGATCATTCGTGACAATCGCGTGTTGCACAAAAGGCGCGATATCTCACGCTTCCTCAATCAGAAACTGCTGATCGTTAAGGATTTCTCCTTGTTTTCCTCTGTATTTTACTTGATTGGATGAAAAGAGGAAAGTAGTGCACGTTTTGACAGTTTGTTTTGCTAGAAAGGGTTTTTTGGGGGAACGCGTATCAACAGTTTGTTTTGTTGGAAAGGTTTTATTGAGGAAACACTGAGCTAGGGATTGTGGGGTACGGTTGTGTACAGACTCGCATACTTGGCTGCAAAGATCGCCGATAGATTTGGGCTGAGAAGGCTAACCTTTGATTCAACTAGATTGGCGGCTGGAAAGCGGGGCATTGTGACCTAATTATGGCCGCTCGCGCCCGCCACGCAGTCTGCGTCTCTCTTGCACTCATGCTCTCTGGCTATTCTCTAGCCAACTAGGTCACGAAGTCCCGCCTTCCAGTTTCAAATTCCAGCCATCCAGTTGAATCAGGTACGTCTGGGGCGGCATGTATCAATCTTCCAAACTGGGTTTCACCTGTGTGTCATTTAAGCGCGGCTGATAGATTTGCAAAAGAAGTGGTTGGGTTAACGGTTAAGGCAAATGGCAAGGATTTTACTTTCTTGCTTATTGGAACGTGTTAAACTTGAAAATGTTAAATTTTTCAGCACTCCACTGAACAATATTTCGTAAGCTTGTCTACATTTGTTTCGTAGTAATATTAGACCTCAGAAATACCGTGTCGTAAGTTCCAGAACTGTACTCTTCTCTACATTTTTATACCAAAGCGTGAAAGTTAAAGAGGTGCCTCTGCTAGATCAATGGAAATCACGTATTCATAACTGAACTGAAAAGAGTGAAGCTGCATATCCATTTATGGTTTCAGAAAGTGTAGATAACATAAGAATGAAAATAACTTACGCAGGACTATAGCGGCATACAACAAAAGTAGACAAATCGCAAGTGCGCACTGCACATCCCAATTTCACACTTTTCGACCACGCCATCTAAATTAGAATTAGGTAATTCTACAGTTCATCGTAACTTTGCGCTTATAAATTGGACCCTTCTGTGCCATTGTCGAAAGCAACTGTAACGCTTTCAAGGTCGTCTTCAAAGGGTACAATAGCGCGAAAATTTGTAAAAAATGAGATAATCCTATCTCTTACTTGTGTGAAGCCCTTCTGATCTATAACCTTGTTTTTCAGGGTTTCGTCGAACATAACTTTATTATTGATGCTATCCTCGGAGATCTGTGACCACCAGTTCTCTGTGGCCTGAAAATAGGGAATTTGAATAAATGTGTTTCAACGGCTATAATGTATGAACTTAATTCTTAAATGAGGATTTTTATGTGCTTCCTTCTGGATTTGATTTAAGAGTCAAGTTCGAACAAATGTTTAATTCACCGTTTTTTATAGGCATTTTAGCGCTACGCTTTTTCGGACCACATTTTTTACAACTCCTGCGAAAGTGACAAATCCAATTTTCAAGCTCAAAGGATTGAACAAACAAGCAGTACGTACTTAGGGCAAGATACATGATTTTGGGGTAAAATTTCCCAGTCCCTTCTACAAATCCTAGAGTTTTGAAAAAACGCCCTCATTACCTCTAAGTATTGAAAAAGTTCGAAAATGAAGTTCACGAGAAAACTTTAAAAATACAGATTTCATTATCGAATGTCCACAAACATTTACTAATTTATCAAAAAATCTTGCCGTTAACTTCTTCTCTTCATAAACGAACGAAAACGAAGCAAGCCATAAAATCTCACAGCATTCAGAGCCACTAATGGATCCGCATTAGGAATTGGATAGACGAAGACATTTTCTCCGTAGCCGGGTCGTGCACTTTCATCAGATTTGTTAAGTAGACAAGCTGACGAATATTTGATCGCTTCCGCCTCTGTTTCGCAATCGTAGATCTGAACTGTCGTCGTCAACAAATTCTGTTCGAAACCATTGTGCATGATCATGTTTTTTACCATTTTTGGCATGAATGACGACTGGGGTAATTTCTGCTTGAGTTTGCCATTCTGCACCTGTCCTAAAGCGAGCATGCTCCTTAAAAAACAAAATTTAAGCAGAACCATCAATTTTTTTCAAAAAAAGACTGTTTACAGCTTCCATACAACCAGATTGACAGAATGTTTAAGAGGTATAGAAATTTTTCCATTTTGCGAAACATTACTTATCCAGAATATTATTAAAATAAGACTAACTTTTTCGAATTGTGGGCTTGTAGAACGGCCTGACGAAAATGATCGTTCATACCTTTGTTGCTCTTACACATTTCGTTTGGTCCATCATCTGCGATGTTTCCATTGATCATTAGGTGAAATAAATGAAAGAGAAAGCCAACCTGGATGAGGTACTGCTCCTTTGTAAACGCACAACCCTGCGAATTTTTTCTTATTGCATATCGAACCCGGGTATGTTGTACAGTCTGCAGCCGTCTGACACTTGCTGCCGCTCTCATAAATAACATTGTTTGGGTAACCACCTCTACAATAATTTATGTTTATGTTTTGAGCGAATCCTTAGTGCATAGACTAGAAAAATCGTGCTTTTCCTGAAAATCCTTCTCTGAAATTCCTTGTCTCAACTTTTGAGCAGTGATACTTCTTCTTGATTGTGTTGCGTTTCTAATATTAGTGTTCAGATTCTTTTAGGGTTTAGGTCTTTAGGGCTTATGGTTGTTATGGTTCTCCCACGGTTTGGTTCTGAGGCTTGATCTTCTTTGCACTTCTTTTTTCCTTCTTTTTCTTCTATTTTATTTTTCATCTCTCAATAGTCTTCTTTTTAGATTCTCGCTCTTGTCCATGCGGTTCACTATCCTTTTCGTATGACGGTTTCATGGCACACGACTCTACCTGTCTCATGTTGATCCTTACTCTGGGCTGATTGTGTTCGAGGGATGCGGAACGAATGCTTTGTTGGACTGTAGTTTATGTTAGATCAGACTCTACCACTTCATTGGACCTTGGTTCAAATTATTGCCGTTCTCTGTTTGGTTCTTCTAACACTTTCATGCCTCACGCGTTAGTTTGGGTCTGGTTCCGTCTTATCACCTCAGTTATGCTTGGGCTAGCTTGTTTGGGCTTGAGACTTTTGCATTGTGCAAATTCTATCGGAGTTCTGTTCTCTCCCCAGAGTTTTGGTTGGGCGGGTTTTATCAATATTACTACCAATACACCTGCTTCCAACATATACAATTGCTTATGTTGAGTAAGAGCATTTTTTGCTAAGAGCAGGGTGCATGAGACAGACTCCATTGAACCTCTATACCTGTGATGACTTCATATATGTCTAAACAAGCTCACTCCCTTTCCATTCCCAGAAAGGTTTTGCGGACTGGACTTGAACTGATTCAGTGGGGAGTTTGCCTTTTTGTTTTGTTTTTTTTTGTTGTTGGTTGTTTGGTTGATGCTTCGTTCTTCTGTTGTATGGGCGCGCCTTGTGCGTATTAAATAAATAAATAAATAAAATCTGTACATAAGGTACGCAAACGAACAGGAAACAGTACGCTAAGTTTGCAGTGTCCGCAGTTACGTCTAGCCCATGCGTTTGATGACCATTCAGTGTTATGAAAGGCTCTACGAATGGAAAAGCGACGTACATGAGATTATAGATGCAGGATACCACAACGTATTGGTCGCCATTTGCGTTACTTTCATCCTTCTTTTCTTCCCCAACTTTCTTATATCCGCATCCAATTCGCAAAGTTTTACCATATACCATCTGAAAATCTTTTCAAACGTACTAGAACTTGCATGATGCTAAAATTACATTGGCAAAAGTATACAATCGAGCGTCCTCATACACATTCCCAGGATTTTTCAAGCCATAGTATAGGATAGGGTTGGACCAAGATTCCAGTGCCATTTGTAGTTCTGGCTTTCCTGAAGTCGCTCCAGCCTTCAGCCCTGGTGGATCTGGATCCGGAGACTTCGATAAAGAGAATCTTGAAACAATTATTTATGTCTTAGAAATCATAAAAGACTAAAGAATTTGGTTTTTGCTACGGTGAAATTTTTAGGATTTGATTAGAATTTTTTTATTACGTACTTCGCAATGTTCTGGCCGTAGCCGTTGTTGAAGGTTATTCTTGCTTCGCCATTTTCTAACGCGCTTTGCACTTCCTTTTCCATATTACAATCGTACTTCTGAAAATCTTTTGATATTAAGGACGTCTAAGGATTTAAATCAACCAAAATCTATTCAATTAGCTCAAGCTAAACTTTTGTATTTTGTACATAACCTCAAAACCTCTCTACATCTTCAGTATCCTGTTCACTTCGTTACCCTATTTATATCTCATTCAGGTACTTATGGTTAGCTTTCTCATAAGTAAAATATCTTCAGAAAGTCTCTACCACACATTTTGACTCATAAGGTGGCTTACCAGCTTGTAGATGTTCCTCCCTTCTGGAAGATTCCCAATATAGTTATTGTACCTGCCATTAGCGACTTCCTTTCTCAAATTGTTGTGGTAATCTCGGAGCAGAATTCTGTCTTCATCGGTTAGCTCCAGTTTATCAAACTTTTCCTTATCGCAAACTGAAAGAAAATTTGGAGTCGAGAACTTTCTTATTAGTAAGGGCTGGATGTAATAAGTAACAATACTGGGAAAAAGACAGATATTTTGTTGAAGAGGAAATAAAACCCGTTAGAAAAATAAAAGCTGATTGTGGTTGATTGTTTAAGTTAGAGTGTAAATCTGAGTAAATTCATTTTTTAAAGCCTCGTAATCTAGGAAGCTGACAAATATTAATATAAGCAGTAGCTTGTGTATGTAGGGCCAATTTTGGAAGGGAAAGAATGAAAAAAAAATATTCTCTCTTATCCACATTCAGTTATTCAGATACAAAAATGTTTAAAAGATACACATATATGACTCAATTACGAAATGTAAGATTTTTTTCTCTAATTTTATCTCTAACAAAAGCTCATTCTAAGCTAACATTCCATCTTTTCTTCCCTCATCATATTGCAGTAATAGACTTTGTACAGACTTACTTGGTTTTTCTGCCTCGAGTGTTTCATCATCTTCAACTTTTGTCAAGCCAAGTGCATCCTCGATGTTCTGGGCGAAAGTAAGCGTGAGACAGGTTAGCAGTAGTAGAAGCATTGGCTAAAATATATTTTGAGAAATTCCAATTCGCAGTACTTGATTAGCTTGAGCAAGAAGAACTCACCAAGTGTGCCAGCGCCATTTTCGCCGTACCATGGAGGATAGAAGACCATTTTGCTTTTATACGCAAAATGTTGCAAGCAAGCACTTACGCCTGCACGTCTGCCAGTCATAAAATTTGAGAGCTTTCTTTCTGAAAAAGTGTTTATGTAAAATATCTTAGCACATTTAATGATAGTAATACTAGATAAGTGATAAAGATTTATAAATGAAGGAAGTTTTAAAATCTTTGATTCATTTGTCAAAGTGTTGCCAAAAAGACAATAAAAAGCAAATAAATGTTTTCTGATTACTTTGACGGCTCCTTTTTGCAAGACGGAACTTGGATAATATGTATTTGATATGTTCGTTCTGTAAAAATGTCAGCAAAAATTGTACTCAAATTTTGTGACGTAAGAGCTCTCTTATACATCATTTCCACCGTCTGAAATAGAACTGCTTTTCAGAAGATTTTGTTTTTTTGTCTTTGAAATAACCTCCAGCTTTCCGACTGCTTGCGAAATTCTGAAACAAATCATGTGGTTTTTATCTTAAAAACGAGGACTTGGTCAAGAATTTAATAGGCGTAGATCACTGAAGAGAGTTCAGGTAAGTTTCTCAACTTTCTGGATATAAAAGTTAAAAAAAAATTTGTCTGTTTTTGGCGTACTCTCACTTTTTGGCACAATAAACCTCTTGGCTTAGAAATAAGTGTAATGGAGAGTTTTTATATAGGAACAGACGTTTTCATATAAAATCATCCATAAAGCATTGATTGCGTGCTTTTCAGCGACAAGAGTTTAACGATGTGTTTTCCAAGTCGTCTAGAAAACTTTTTCATTCCTTTTTGCAGTGGAAAATAAAATAGTTATCAAAAGAGAAAAACTCAGCTATGAAACATGTTGACATAAAATGTCTGTCATAATGCGTCGTAAATTTTAGTGCGTTGTCTGCTCTGGATGCAACAAATTGAATCTTATCTTTAGTGATTTGCACAGTTTCGCAGACAGAAAGTTCTAGCAAAATTTTATTTCTGCGGCTCGGAATGTACACAAACAGGGAAAAAGTGCACGTCGTATACTTATTTATTTTATTTATTTTACCGTAGCGAGCTTTTTTTGAAGAAAGCATTAAGCAGAGATGCCATTGTTTTCTTTCAAATTATAGAGGTAAACATATCCTATAATGCTCGCTCATAAATGACAAATAACTCTATTTGACTGGGATCGAAGCTGCACCTCTTACTCGGTACTTGAATCTCAAACTGCAGTTTTGGTCAAAGCCGTGCTTCTGCAATGACGAGAAATAAAGCGTTAAAATGTTGGAACAATCTGTATCAGACAGGAACACGACAGACTGTATCGTTGAAATTTTCTTTGTCAGTATTATTTATTTATTTATTTATTTATTGAATGCACAGGAAGTGCGCCTACAATAAAACAGCAGAAACTCTAAGTCGTAATCAGTAAGAAAAGAAGAAAAAACACTTAATCTAAACAGAAACTTGAAATCAGTACTTGTAAAAAATCTCAAGCTATGAGAACCAGAACGAAAAACCCAAAAAAGAATGATATCGAGATCATAGCATCCAAAATTAGCTACGTTAGCTACCCTTACATTATCAGGCAACTCTCTTGTAAACCAATGCTTGACCTACAATTAGGGGAAGCATTTGTTTTAGTTTTATTCCATTGAAATCAATTCGGTTGAACACGGAAGGGAAGCTTAGAGAGGCGAAAAATGGCTCTGTGTAACTCATTTTTACATTTTACTGCCACTGGTCGGCTGGCTCATAGCTGTTCATTAGGTATGAACTCAAAGGATAGTATTATCTATGTGAACAAATCTATCCTTCAGTGGTGTCGCTTTGGTAGTTTGAAAAAATCACCAGGATGTTGGAGGACAGGTCAAGCCTCTGGGAAGAGTTTAACAAGTTACCGAAGTATGTCGTATTTTGAATTGAGCTCGATCAAGCTGTAAATGCTTTTTTCAGACTTGACGAGTCAAACGCAAAAAATGAAAAGCTACTCTACGACAATATGATGCGTGCTAGAAGTCGTCATGCTTCTACAAATGTGCGCATTCCGATAAAAAATCTTAGCACGAGTCGCGAACATCGCAGAGAAAGTGTTGATCTAGACTGGATCATATGCACTGATGGTGTGAATGTACCTGAGGCTAAAGTGACCTCATGTGGGCAAAAGACTGAAATGAAACCTCACATATGTGTAAATAGGGGAGATACCCTCCCGTCTTGTGAGCAAGCGCAGCAGACTGCTGTTGAATCCCATAATGTTACTGCTTCAACTTCTCAGGAAACAAATCAAAAACCTAGACTGGATTGGATTATTGATACTAAACCGGAACATTACGTACCATATGACGAGGATGAAGCGTCACCTTTGGAGCATCTCCTAAACGAGGCCGAGGATGTGGAAGACGAGAAGCTTCTAAACACAGCGCTTTGCTCAATCCGTGAAAATACATTGGTGGCAGAAACTGTGCAAGCATGAGGAGATCATACGAACAAGTAGACAAATAGCTATGTATTTCGAACCATTTGTAAGGGTACTAATATCTTAAACAGCTTAGAATGGTTTGCCTGAAAGACGGTTTGTAAATAAATGGCTTTTGTGGCAAAAATGATGTAGCGAATGTATAAAAACTGCAAGCGAATGTCAAAATGTAACGGTCAGAGTTCCAAGAACTTGTACGCAAATGATTGGCCGGAACTTTTCGCAGCATTTCCTCCAAATCCGCTGCGGTAAATACTGCAGTGAAGTGCTGCGGAACTGCTGGAAAATGGTGAATTCCCGAAACTCTGCCATTTCCGCTTCAAAGTTACGATCCATTCCTTTCACATCAAACAAATAATACCAAGTTGTCCCATAAGTTTCGATTCAACTTTCCATCGCATCAAGTCACGAACTTGTTATCTTTGAAAGGTTTCAAGGTACTTTTTTGGATAGAGCAAAGCAAGCTCTACAAGATGGTGTTTTTGCTTTCGCACCATTCAAATCCATCTCGAGTTTGAAGCCAAAAACTAAAAAGATCCAACTACCGGATATATGCAGGGCCCGGCACAAGGTGGGCAAACGGGGTTTTCCAAAACGAATACCCCTTTGATCCCAGTAGTTTTACGAATACTCCCTTGAGCCCAAAAATGACGTTTTGTGCTTGTGCGACGAGATTACCGGCCACACTTCGCCTAAAAGCGCTCAAAAGCGCCCAAATTGCTCAAATTCCTCATATTACTCAAATTGCTGTACCAAGATAGGAAACAGGAAGAAAAATAAGCAGTAAAAAGGATTAGGGAATGAGAAAATATCAAAGAAACACAGTCATAGGAATGAGAGACGTCGTTCCCGCGCGTATCGATTGACTGGGGCGCGCTTTCTATCTTAGAAAGCTGGGCTGCTGATGCCATTTTGGGCTCCAACAAGGACAAGAGGAGGAGTTTCGGAACCAAAATTTCACCATGTAGTAAACTTTAGGTGTACAACAGATTTATGTAAAAATTTTGAGAAAATTATGTGAATTGAAAGTTTTGCCGACCTCAGGTGGGAATTAGGTCGGCAAATGCCGACCTAATTTGGAAATAAGTTAAGGAAACTCTTCATTCACATAAGTTTTTCATAATATTTCATACTTAATTACTTAGTCCTATTGCGCATATACACACCGAAGCCCGCGCGATTTTGTTACCTCTGCGTTGCAAACGAGCCATTTTTCCATTTCTTTGGTAACGCAAAATTTCCAGAAAAAAGTTTGCCACAACCTTCAGTCACATATTTTCTCAATGAAACTCCTCAGTTAAGTCCTGCAAGCCCGTGTGCATGTACTTACCAAGTTTCATACCATATCGTTCATCTGCGCTTTCCAACGAGCCGTTTAAATTCACATTTTCATTTACCAGTTTTGCGAAATTCTCGGAAAAAATGCTAATTACTCGTTCCGTTCACATAAGTTTTTCATAATTTTTCATGCTATGTTTCCACTAGCCTCTGTCCGTTCGCACACAAAATTTGATGCCATATCGTTACACACACATTGAGAACTAGTCATGTATGCAGTTACAAATAGCATCGCTTGGGCGACGTCACGCGTGCGGCACTTAGCGACGACGCGGTTTGACGTGCGCGAACTCCAGTGTTCGCCTGTTGAGGCACATAACATGTCAAGATTAGCGAGCATGAACTACCAATTTTTTTCCGGGGCTCTGCCCCGGACCCCGCAAAAACGATTTCCCCTTTGCTTTTTGGCCCCAGAACGATTTCCAGCTTGTCATTTGCCGACCTCGTGCCGGGCCCTGGATATATGAAGACAAAATCGTAACTCCGCCCGAATAAAATTTTAGAAAATTCCTAACCTGCTCACAAATACAAATACCCACGTCAGACATTCATATATACTGCTGCAGTATTTTTTCCTTGGATAGAAATTATGAAAACGAATTTCATGTTTTTGTCAAAGTCAAGCTGTTGTTCCCACATTGGTAGTTGTATACTACAGACCAGTATAAATACAAGCGTGAATGTTCAGCGCTCTACAAGCGTTAGTTTTCAAGAAAAATCAAACTTTGCTTCTCCTAGTCGTCTCCAATACTAAAATGAAAATTTATCGAGGACTACAGCCTATAAAGAGTGAGTAAAAATTTACGTCTGTACGTTTAGTCTTCAGTATAGTACATCTACGGGATGTGGGAATAGCACAGCATTACTTTAGTGAAAACATAAGCTTCATTTTCTTAATTTTTATTCAAAAATACAGCAACAGTATATATAAATGTCTGGTGTGGGTAGGTTATCTATGAGCAAGTTAGGAATTTTTTAGGATTTTTTGGACATAGTTACGCTTTTTCTTCATTTTTCATGCGATTGGATCTTTTAAGTCTTTTTTTCTTCAAACTCGAGATAGATTTGAAACGGTGTGAAAGCAAGAGCACCATCTTGTGGAGGTTGCTTTGCTCTATCAAATGGTAGCCCTGCCTAGAATTTAGAAGTTCATGACTTATTGAATGAAAATAACGGGCGGAACTTATAAAACAATCCGATAGTTTTCCGCTTTTGTTCATTCCTCCAATGTACTCCTTTCAAGGTGTTAGAATGAAATGCAGACAGAGATATTTCTATCAAAAAGGTGCAGTGAATTATTTCATGCAAAGGCACTATATAGAATCACCCTAGCCCATAAGCTCATGCCGAGTTCACGCGATTTGGTCGTCGCGATACAATCACTATAAGACAAATGTTACGAGTTCATTGCGTGCCGATCTTCTTGTATTTCGGTTGTGATAGTTCTCCAACACGACCAATTGTGACTAACTACCACAACCGAAGTACAAGAAGATCGGCATGCAATGAACTCGTAAGGCAAGGGATATACCTCAAGCGATTTCAGTCGCCACGCGATCTGGCAATTTGCCAGATGTCTTCAAATTCAATACTAGTAGACCCCAAATGCACAGCATGTATAACTTTCGTAGGTTGTTAAAATGTCCCATCTTCCGTACATCCAGAAACCCCGTAAGATGAGTTATAAACATTTGGAGTATTGCCAAATCGCGTGGCGACTGAAATCGCGTGAGATATGCCCGAGGCCTAACACTTGTTTTGTAGCGACTGAATCGCGCCGATAAAATCGCGTGAACTCTGCCCAAGGCCTAAGAGATATGTTTATCGGCGGCGTGGCGTTATGGAGCAAAGCTACGCCGCACTCGCTTGTGGTGTATTCTGAAGGCCCTTTGCTAAAGAGTTCAAAATGTGGAAGATAAACGGGTTTTGAGGATGATTTTGAAAAAATTATATAAGGAAGAACTTGTCTGCAACTCAAGGGAAATTCAAAGAAGAGAAACTGATTTTTCATAAAAAGTCGTTGACGGAATTCTGTCCTTTTTCTTTACTAATTCTCCTGCCCCACTTCTTTTGAACACCTTTTAACAATTTATCCTTTAATTCATCATGTTCATTCCTAAAAGTCATCTAATTCATCAATTTTTGTTTTCTTCATTGCAATATACCCTTTGAACGGGATTATGGCTCAATCCACGAGCAGCATTACTTCTGCGGTGCAATTAAAGGCGACGCAACGCAAATGCCCCTTAGGATATACCGCGGAGAAATGCGGCGTAGCTTTGCTCCATAACGCCTGCCCCTGTTTATCATTGTGAGATTAAATACAATCAATTGATTGTAGGAGTAAGGAGCCTGCCGAAATTATACATTAACTAGCTGGCATACCTGGCCCCTCGACCCTCGACCATTGACCCTGACATTACACTGTAATATTGATCGCCATTTCCGATTTCTACACGATTTCCTGTCTCTGCCCCAGTTCTATACGGCAGTCCCTGTTCACTATGTTTTCATAAATAGCATCCTCACCTTACCCTCCTGTGCCAAATCCCAGCCTTGTATCTCAAACTTTACAAAAAAGCGATATGCATATAGTCATCCTCACCCCAGTGGTTGCTCGGTGGTCAAATTCCTAGAGCCGCTGGGTGCTATAGAAGTGCGGCACCGCCAACTCTCAGTCGGAGCTTCGAGTGTTTTTCATTTTTATTGCTTTGTCGTTGTATGCTATTATATTTTTGTATTTTAACAATGCTCGTGATGAAAATGACGATTATGTTGTTATTGAGCGATGTCCACACATTATAGCTCGTTTGCTCAACTCTGCTTACAAATGAGCTTGGAGAAACGGTAAGGGTTGGAATTTTTACTCGTAAGTCCTTGTTTGTTGAATAACATATACTAGAGTTTCGGTATAGTAAATTGTATACCACAAAATAAGTTCTTGTTTGTTGAGTAACATATACTAAAGTTTCGGTATAGTAAATTGTATACCAAAAAATCCTATCAGCATTGTTTCTCCAAGTTTAGGCGTTAGAAAAACGAAAGCAGCAAAAATATCAACTTGAAACATCGCTCAGCAACAAGAAAATGTATTTTTCAACTAAGTAAACCCGATAAAAACATAAAAATGTATACCACAAAGTCCTATCAGCATTGTTTCTCCAAGTTTAGGCGTTAGAAAAACGAAAGCAGCAGAAATATCAACTTGAAACATCGCTCAGCAACAAGAAAATGTATTTTTTAACTAAGTAAACCCGCTAAAAACATAAAAATGACATGAAACGATGACGGAAATAGAAAAAACATATGTGAGCTCAAAGTGGGGGCTAAGGGAGTCGCGCTCTACCGCAGCTGCCCCTGCTCTCTAGTTCATGATCGAATTCGACCACCGAGCGACTAGTGGGGTGAGGACGACTATACATGCATACAAACGAACAGACATTCACCTTCATATTAGGCTGTTCCTAATGTGATGTCGCTTTTTTTCAAATGAATGCCATATTTCATGCAATAAATCCTAAGAGTTCTTACAGGGAAAGGATACTTAGTCGAAAGCACCGATCCAGATGAGACATATATCATTGTGAGCTGCTCGGAGCGCTGATTTCAAATCTGGCAAAATCAGCTGCGGAGCGCCTTTGGGTAAGGAGCTATGACCG